TGGGGACTCTAGCACACCTCTGGAGAGGTTGTTCCAGAGATTGACTGTAAAAAACTTCTCTTTCTTACATCAAGGTGAAACCTCTCCCAGTGCAACTTGTACCCATTGTCCCATGTCTTCTCCATGTGGCTCCTGTGAAGAGAGAGCTTCCATTCTTTTTATAGGTGCCCTTTCCAATAAAGACACTACCCTTTTCTATACAAACACTAATGTTCAAACAGCGGCCTGATGGGTTGGACCAACCTCCCCATCCAAAGGAAAAAAATTATACCAAAGGCAGAAAGTAAAACTGGTTGTGGTGGTTGGTAGGGTTCAACTAGAGGATACATAGGTACAGTGGAGAACAGCATTGCTGTTTGGAGGGACCATGACAAGCTGGAGGAATGGGCTGACAGAAGCCTCATGAAAATCAAAGGCAGCAATATGCAACAGTACAGGCTGGGGACTGCCTAGGCATCAGCTCTGCAGAAAAGGATCTGTAGTTCCTGGCCAACAAGCTGAACATGAGTCAGTGGTGTGCCTTTGCAGCAATGAAGAAGGTTAAATGCACCCTGGGCTGTACTTGCTACAGCATATGCAGCAGGTCAGAGAAAAGTGGTTGTTCCTCTCTACTCAGCTCTTATGAGGCCACATCAGGAGTACTGCCTTCAGTGTGGTGTCCAACACAAGAAACACAAACAACCTGTAAGTCCAGTAAAGAACCACTAAGATGGTTAGAAGGCTGAAGAATATAACATAGGAAAAGAGGCTGAGGCAAAGTGGTCATGTGCTGCACCTCCTGCCATCTTTGAAGACTTTCACAACTCAACTGGATGAAGGCCCCAAGCAATCTGATCTATGAAGTTAACACTGCTTTAAGCAGAGATGACCTCCAGAGTTTCCTTCTGACCTAATTCACTCTGTGATCTGTGACAAAAGGAAGCTAGATTGCTCCATTTTAGCGGCCATCTGAACTTTGCCCAATTGGAGTGACAATGGAAATGTTAAGTTACAAGGCTAGTCTTCCTAAGCTTCTACACAACTGAGAGATTCTGGTACCTCTAGAACATGACTGCAAGTACCATAAACTGTTCCTCTGACTGGTCATCAAAAGGAGTCTGTCTCTTTCCAGTGACTACACAGAAGGAGCAGGGAGAAAACACTTCTGAGTTGCATGCCCAAGTTAGATGCTTAAGGTGACAAAGTAGGGAAAAAAGTAGGCCAGTAAAGCCTGAGACTACCGCATATATAATGGACACAAGGTGAAACGCAGTTGGCTTATGAGGCTGGAGGTCAAGTTTGTAGGCATATTGGTGGTGGAGACAATCTGGGATTCATCCCAGAGTACTGAAGGAGCTAGTGGATGTTATGGTAGGACCCCTCTTGATCATCTACCAAAGGTCTTGGGAGTCTGGGGAGGTCCCTGCTGACTGGAAGCTTGCCAATGTTATTCCAACCTACAAAAAGTACATGAGGAAAGACCCAGGAAACTACAGACCTGTCAGTCTAACCTCAGTTCCTGGAAAAAAATACAGAGAAGATTATACTGGGTACTACTGAAAGGCATTTAAAGAATAATGCAATCATCAGGCACAGTCAACATGTGTTCACAAAGGGCAAGTGTTGTTTAACTAATTTGATATCCTTCTATGCTAAGGTCACCCACCTAGTGGATGAAGGGAAGGCTGTGGGTGCAGTTTTTCTGGATTTTAGTAAGGGTTTTGATACTGTCCATCACAGCATCCTTCCGGACAAGTTGTCCAACTGTGGGATGAGCAGGCTCACACTGCATGGGGTGAAGAATTGTCTGAAGGGCAGAGCTCAAAGGGTTGTAGTGAATGGGGCTACATCTGACTGCTCACTGGCAGTGTTCCTCAGGGTTCAATTCCAGGGCCAGTCCTGTTCAATATATTTATCGATGATCTGGATACAGGAGTTGAATGCACCATTAGCAAGTTTGCTGATACTAACAAATTGGGAGGTGCTGTTGACCCTCTGGAGGGACAAGTTGCCTTGCAGAGGGATCTAGATAGATTGGAGCACTGGGCTATGATTAATGGGGTGAAATTTAACAAGTCCAAATGCTGGATTCTGCACCTAGGATGGAGTAATGCTGGGCACAAGTACAAATTGGGAGAGGAGTGGCTGGAGAGCAGCCCTGCAGAAAGGGATCTGGGGGTGCTGGTCTACAGCAGTCTCAACATGAGCCAGCAGCGTGCCTTGTCAGCCGAGAGAACAAACTGCATCAAACACAGCATAACCAGCTGGTCAAAAGAGGTGATTGTCCTGCTATACTCAGTGTTGGTGCAGCCTCACCTGGAGTACTGAGTGCAGTTCTGGGCCCCACGATTTAAGAAGGATGTGAAGGTCCCTGAATGTGTCCAGAAGAGGGCAACAAACCTGGTGAAAGAGCTGGAAGGAATTTCCTATGAGGAGTGGCCAAGGACTTTGTGTTTGTCTCATTACTCCCTACAGCTTCTTGAGGAGGGGAAGTAGAGAGGAAGGGGCTGATCTTTTCTCCCTGGGATCCGTGATAGGACATGTGGGAATGGATCAAAACTGTGCCAGGGGAAGTTTAGACTGGACACTGGGAAGCATTTCTTTACTGAGAGGGTGATCAAACACTGGAAGAGGCTTCCTAGAGAGGTGGTTGATGCCCCAAGCCTGTCAGTGTTTAAGAGGCATTTGGACAATGCCCTTAATAACATGCTTTAACTTCCGAATTGGTCAGGCAGTTGGACTAGATGATCTTTGTAGGCACCTTCCCCCTGAAATAGTTTATTCTATTTTATCTCACCCACCTTTCTATTTACAAATTAATTTTTCACAGCAAGGCACATCCAGGATGAGCAATGAATCTCACCAAGGCATTTCAAAATCAGTTTTTGGACCAGAACCATTCTGACCTGAACCACTGACTCTGAAATGTCTGGTTTTTGGCACGTTGCTACAGCAAATCATGTAAGGTTCAGAGGAAAGGAATACTCTGAAGCTTGGGCTCCTCCTTTCCGGGTCCTTGCAAGATCTGCTCAAGAACTTGTTAGTGCTCTCCACACTGCTGGAAATAACTTTTTATTCTCTTGTTTAGGACATGCCAAATAGGATCTGCAAGAACCCGAAATTGTCATCAAGCTACCCAAAATTAAGGAATTGGTGGGACAGACTCAAGTATGTAACTTGGATACAAATTCTGGAGTACAAAGAAAGTCTAAATTTCTTTAAGAAGTTGCTGAGGGAAAAGCAGGCAGTGAAGGTGATAGTAAACATTGAAAACTCATCTGAAAGACAAAAGGCACAACGATGCTGGCAGACTGTAGTTTCCTTGATAAATCTGCTTATGAGACACAGTTCTGACATTATTTTGATGTAATGTCCAATAAAAAATACTAAGCACTGCTTGGTATCTTGTCTTCACGACATGTTCTTTCTTCTGTATCAACAACAAGAATTTCAGTACAAGAATACTATTAAAATGATACTGAGTTCTAAAAGCTATCAAACTGGACTTTGCAAGTTGTACAAGCACTCAGAATATCCCTAACCAGAGTACATATCACATTCTTAATCACTCCTGAGATGTCTTCCATAACAAAATAATTAGAGAGTCCTATATAAAAGTCTCTGATGGTCATCCTAAGAATTTGGCTCTTGAGTTCTTCAAGCAAAGATTACTACCCCTGCCGTATAGGTCTATCTGTACCAACAAACTGGAAAGCACATAGCCAATGTTTTGATTTGTCGAATTTACTCTGGCTCTAACAGAAGAAACATCAAACCACAATCACACTCAGTAAAACAGGTGAGAAAATAATAAATGAGCAAGCAAGATCCCAAGGCCAATTTTCATCACGAAATTGTTAGTCCAGTTGAAAGAAATGAAACCTACCCAAAGGGCAGAAAAAATATGGTGATTCCTGTTCAGTTCTGATAAGTATCATTTGAAGTGGTGAAGATTAAGTTAAACTTATGATACCAGCTGGAGAAATATGCAAAATAGTTCTGAACAATCTAAACTCAATTAGCAGGAGCTATTCACAGCATCTGAGAGCTCGCTGTGGACTAACTTAACCCCCTCAGCCTACTCTAGGCTCTATGATGCCACCCATGACTATGGGGTTAAGCCAGATCATTCAAAGCCAGCTCAGGTACCTCTATAATACACTGTCAACTCTGGTTAAACATTACAGGCCATGCCTATTGAACTGATATTATATTACATGCTTATTGAACTGATATTATACAAGCTCTTTACACATGTGGGTTCACCAAATGATTCCTGTATTTCCTGTGGTGGGACACATTCAGATACCAGATTGCACATCCTATATAGCTTTTCATAATCATGAATTGATGTATTCTTGTGTGTTTATTTAAGAGAGCCCCAAGATAATTTCTCCACAACTGTATTTGAACTGCCAACTTCTATTCAGATCAAATGATACAACAGATCTAAAAGCTCACTTGAAAAAACATCTATGAAGGAATGACTCATGGTAAATACAGCTATCTTACAAAAACTCTATGAGTAACACTATATTCAGCATGTATATACTAGCACTTGCATATTGCAGGAATTTAGAGGGCTTACTCATATGAATAATTCTTTACAATTCATTAAAAATACAAGTAAGCTTCCTAAAGTTCATTGCCACTTAAGCCATCCCAACATAATGGCATAAAGTGTACTAAAATATTTAGGAATATACATTTATAGGTTTATTTCTAAAATACTTATTGAAATATTTCTTTATGCTTATAAAAAATAAAACATCTAACAAATAAACCTATTACAAAATAGACTTTTCTTAAAATAAATTCTTAGTGTTTAACAGGAATTAGGGACAGCAACCCTTCCAGCTCTTCTAACAATAAATACCTGCTAAGGCAGATTTTTTGGTAATATTTTATGAGGGTATAATAAATTCAAAACACATCAAATTGACATTTTTAGTTTTGCTATATTTCACTGAAATGTACAAAATATACACAATATAAATTAAAGGGGCAAACAGAATGCTTACTTTCTCTAAATGCTTTACAGTAGCCAAGAAATGACAACAAAAAGAACAGGGCACACAGTAGGTCTGCTCTGCCAACAATCCCGGCAACCTAAGGAAAAAAAGAAAAGGTTCAGATTAGCAGATTTTATTCTTAGAAAACCTGAGATAAAGGTGCACACACATATACAAAGTGAAATGCATAAAAATATTGCTGCATCACTTTTTTGGTTTACTGGATTAGTGGTACCTAGTTTTCTAAGCTACATCCTAATTTTGATTGGGTATTGCTTAGTATCAACTAGGTAAATGATTTGCCTTTAATTTATGAAAAACTGCTGTTTTAAGAAATTAAGAAGGAGCTTGCTGAAGAAAATGTAGACTCTGCCCCATTCCATCTGTTTTTTGGATCAGGTTGCCTTTCAGCAGAACTCTTAGCAAAAGTCCTGAACCCCAACAAAACTGGCAGATTGCAAATCAAGACTGTCCACTTTCAGAAGACAAGCCAGCCTTCAAATTGCAGTCTGAACACTCAGAATGGACAAATAGCTTCCAGACTGCAGAATCAGAAGAAAAATCCCCTCCCCCCCTCCCCCCCCCGGCAGTTTTTTGTGTTATATTAATTGATTGCATTAGAGCTACCTCCAAGTGTATCTTGTAACAGAAGCTATACTAATGCAAAAGAAAATGAGAAGCACATTCTGGAACTTCTGTACTCCAGATCTGTGCCAGCCTATTTATACCAAGAGCATTCTCAGGGCCATCAACAAGCTTTGGTTCAAGCCTTTAAACTGTACTTACAATAACTTTGTAAGACACATCATGACATATTCTTGGATCTTCATTCCTCAGTTACACAAGTGTCAGGATACACCATGAATTTTTTGTGGAAATCATGACATAGGGAGGTGGCAGGGGACTGTATAGGCCCTGATATTGGACCTCACTAGAACATTCACCCAGAGCAAGGATCATGGAAGCACCCTTTTGTTTTCAGTCTAACTCTGCTTCCTGGAGTGCTGGGTTCCACATTTCCAGGAGAAGATGTACACAGAGGACTTTCAGAAGCAGGGCAGAACAGCTCCAGGCTTTTGGGGTTTTGTTGTTTGGTGTTTTTTTTTTTTTTAAATCCATTTTTTGAGGTGATGGCTCAGGGACAAAAGCAGAAACGTTGGTTCTTGTGTAGTACACCAGTTGTCCCATTTTGTGAGTGGAACAGAGAGGAAAGTAAAAAGATAAATTGTATCTTTGTTTTGTTTAAAGGCACGTGCTAACCCTCTCTTAGGAAAAGGGCATTTTTTTGTGCCAGTCTGATATGACGGAACAACTATTTCTAAATAACATCAGAGAAAGAAAGAGCAGTGTAGAGGCATGAGAGCAGGACTGAATCCACTGAAGAGACTCTCCCATTTTACCCTCAGCTTCACTTGTGCACCATAAAAGGAGAAACTGTTGGACTCCTAAATTCAGTTCAGAAAAACTTTTTTATTCATCCAAAGCTAGGCATCTAACTTCCCTGCTTCTTCTTCTATCTTATAGATGAATTACAAGAATTAACCCAATAGCTGTGGAGTGCTTTGAAAGGTGAAACTAATGAAGTATTCCTTTTCAGGAGCTGCTCTCAGCTAATGAGATAAAAGTAAAGGTGAACTGACACAATTTTGAAAATAAATGCCAGCTTGTCACAACAAAGAGATTAAGGGGCTAATAACACACATATGGCCTCTGACAAATTCAACAGTACAAATGTTATCTCAAAAGCAGGATCAGGCCTAATGTATCTTGTAACTAGGTAAACAAAAAAAATAAAGTTTTAAACTGGTATCAGGTATATTCTTATGGACATTTCATTTAGTATTTCATCACTCAAATGTTACAAAGAATAAGCATTTTTTAGAGAAGAGAACTACACCACAAGAGTGTTTACTTGTAGGTAGAAAAATAAAAATGACAGAAGTTTTTCCTACATAGGTACTGAAAGCATTAAACTTTTCAACATCTGTTTTACGTGAAAGCTTGTTTTGTATTGTACATACCAAAATCGAAAGCAGCTAACAGACAGATTCTTTACAATTTTATGTCAAAATATGTCATCTCATTTCAAAATCAGGATGTCAAAATACTTAAAAGTCAGAGCTTTAAAATGATAAGAAATGCTTTTTGAGGAGACGCTGCCTGAAGCACACTCATGCTAGAACCATAGCAGTATCATGACTGCTTCAGTGCAGCAAGATTTATTGTTCCCTGTGTAAATGATCAGAGGCCTTTGTTCACTCCTGAATCTTAGAAGAGACATGTTACATAAGAATGCTACTTTTTTCCTCTTCTTCCAGCGTTTCTCCACAGCATACGCCAATCTTCATAACCTTGTATATGCAAGCAGACCGCATCACTTGTAATTTATTTGACATGACCAAGGTCTTATTAACATCTGCCTGCTGAATTAAATTTATTTTTAGAGTCAAATGGAATGAAGAATAAAATTACAGACACTGATAAAGGAGTCAATAGCAGGCCTATTACAAAGTAAGACTCGTGAGATTTCTCTTTACGTGTCAGAACATCAAAAGCACTGAAGACTTGTTTTACTTCACTTTGACATCTAGAATTGGTTTTGGAGAACAAATACAACAGGCCCTTCTGACACTAGCACAACACGCTCTCACAGAGAAGCTATTCTGCAGGCACACAAACACCAGAGAATGATTGGCAGGATGCTCTAGCCACACTGCCAAAGAGGATGCCAAATTACTAATACATAACTTTGCACCATCTCTAGGTTTCCAGTACATGCAGGGTCCTCTGTTAGTTGAGAGGCATAGCTTTCTGTAACCTCTTCCCCACCAATTACATGCAAAGCAAAGGAAAAAAGCTGAAACCATGGCAAATTGCGAATAAATGAAAAATCAGTGCTACATATATAGAATAGGGTACACTGAGGATTCAGTGTACATTACTAGCACAAAGATCAAAGTTAAAGTTAGTACTTTTTTAGTATCTCAGTCCTTCCAAATGCTAAAAAAAAATATATTCCTGCGTTGTGATTATTTTATATTTGATTTATTCATTATTACAAGATCAAGCAATCAGGAACCACCTCCAGCAAGCCCACTGGCATAAGGCCATAAGATTTTCTTAGCTCTGAGTGCAAAAGAGCTTTTTAAGAAAACCATGTCCTCTTCACTAGAATTTCCACAGAAGGACTTTGATCTTTGGTCAGGTATTTTAATTGGTTGCTACACATGTGCTGTGTTTCTATTCTGCATCTTTACAGCTTTAACTTCCAGCCGCTGTTATGCTTTTGTCTGCACTACTAGAGGGCTCACTGCTATCAAATTTCTGTCCCCCATGTACATAATTACAGACTCTGATAAAAAACAAAACACAATAAAACTTTAATCCTCTCCTCCATATTAAAAATATTGTGGAGTTCGATCTCTCATGACACTGGATGATTTACCGTCCTTTAATCATTTTGATGGCTCTCCTGAGCCCTCTCCATTTTTCCTGGTGTCCTCCTTGCAGCATGGATTCAAAACTGAATGTGGTATTCTAATACAGCCACATACAGAGTTCATATAATGCCCCTACTCCAATTTTCTGTCTCCTTGGGTTTTTATCAAAGCAAAATGGTCATGCATTTGCATTCAGTTTATCTTCCACTCTCCTTGGCTGCTCATGAGCTAATGTTTCTAGTAATGAATTCTTAATCCAGTAATTAGGGAAACTCTATAGTTTAGGGCCATCTTTCTTTAGTTATTGTACTTAAATGATTTAATTCATCTTTCTTAATAGGGTCCAGCCCTGTGGAATTACAAGCTTTTGGACATACTAACCATAATATTTGATTGTTCTTCTAAGACATGTGCCAAGAGAAGCATTAAGAATATATAAAAGCAATGTGAGAGTATAAGGTTATGTCAATTAATTAGTCAAATGGTCAAGAACCTCTAAGATACAAATGATTGTAGCTAATTATTCAGTACTTACACATTCGGTGTGCACTGGATGTACAGCAAACAGCAAAGCAGCTAGAAGAGATGTCTTTGGAGCCAGGTTTAGCCTTCTTCCTTTATTACTGAACTGCAGTCCACCCAATAATATCGAGAACACATCAACCATCAACACTGAGATACTACAATGCAGTATTATATTGATGACATGGAAACCCACTGGGTAGAAGCCTCCAGCAAAAAGGTAATTAATTCTATATAGAAACAAAAACATTAAGGCTAGGAATTACATCAATGGCTACAGATATGCAAACAGAAAACTTAAACAACCCCATAGTACGATCATATTAGACACACACACACATGAAAAACAGAGGCTGAAAAATACCAGCAAATGCCAGCATGCAGGGTATTATTACAACTTAGCCACCACAGTGGGCTAGAAAAAATGTCCTGACCTTTACTCAGAGGTGTTCATACAGGATACCATATTCAGTGCAATATCTATCTTCTCCAAAGACATATGTTAATGCCGTTATGCTAATCATACCTATGGTTACTTAGAACTGGCTTTTGGTCAGCAACATAACCTCAGTGTTGCAATGCGGGAACATCCTACAGATAACCAACTCAGCCTACTGGAGGGATACCCTTAGGCTTAAGAGAAACTATATCCAAAACCAACCTCATGAAAGTATTTTAATTAAATCCACACAGTAGGGAAACTAATATGCACTGAGACTATGATTTCTACTGACATTCTAGCTGAAAAACATCCTAGCATTTGGACTGACTATGTGGAAACCATCTGGGTACAATCCAGCATCAATCCAGAAAGTAGTCAGCTAGCACGTCTTAGTAACTACTTTGTGAGGCTGGATAGAGAGAGGTTTTGTGCAAGTTTCAGAACCAGAAGGAAGCGTAAGTGAAAATTCAGTCTAAAACCCTATTCAGAATAGGAACTCTGTGGTAAAATGGAGAGGGAGAAGAAAAGTGAGAAACATCTTGTTATTATCTATATACTTTTATCAGTAGGTGAGATATACAGAAACTTAGTTCGGATACGGGATTTTACACAGTTCATTTGGTCAGCTGGCATCTGGCTTAAGTGAAATATATTAAAAAAGCCTAACCTACTATAAATGTGATACACATAAAAGTTAGAGCTTAGGGGAATTAAGAAAACCAACTTCTCAGTTGTGAAAATAGCATTTTATGGACCATCTCCATATGCTCATCTAGATTTTCAGATATAGTAATGACTATATCCCAGTTTGCTCTTTAAACTAACCAGGATGGTACTAGAGATGGAATATACCACAGAGACCTTGAAAAGAAATGAAAGCATCTGCTGTGTAATGCACTGAAAGCTTTAATAGGTTTAAGACTTTGACACATTCTAGTCAGTTGCATATATTCCTTGATGAAAATGTGAAGAAAACCCAACACACAGCGAAACCCACAGTGCTAAGTACTTTAAACACTGACACTGCAATGAAGAGTCACAGTTTTTGCTTGAATATGAGGACTAAGAATGGGAGTACTTCTTCCGCAATCACTTAGTCCCTGTCTTGGACCAGACACAACTGCAGAACCAGTGCCAGGTCCCCATCCTCGACACTAAGTTGCCTGAGGAAAATAAAGAAGCTGAAGACTTGAGTCCTCAAAGATTCTATGCATTAATGTGCCCAACTTCTACATAGTCTACTGCTTGCTCAAATCTTTGCAAAAAAACCCATGAGCTAAGCATCTGCAGAAGTTATCCTCATAAACCTTTAGTTATCTGAGAAAATGAGCAAGTTATATACGCAGGCAGATGTCTCTCTCACTGTGACTTTCCCACAAACACTCGCCTGAAGTCAGAATTTCTATCTGGGGGGAAGAGGTGGGAAGACTATTCAGTGACCTAGAGGCAAAAGGCCACAGTAGATCGATGGTATTTATAAAAACTCATTTGACAGGGCTCTAGGAAAGCAGAGAACAGAAACTACAATAGCAGTGTAAGTGAGAGCACAGCTAAGTGAAGGGAACGTGCACCTCCTAGTTCTTTGATGTGACCTACATATTGAACCACACTGTCCCTAGTACCAAGGTACATAAAAGCATAAGATGCAATCTATGAAAGGTACATTGAAATACAGAATGTCAAAATAATGTATACATTGGGAAAGAAAGAATTTGAAAATTAGAATTCAATTTAAGATTAAAGTAGTGAACAGCAAAATCATATTCAGAAAAGTTATCGTACCTCCTTCCAGACACTTTGTCTCTCTCCTTTTCTATTACCTCCTACCTATAATGAATTGAGCCAATATGCGTTAAAAACATTCAGACTTCAAGCAAAAAGGTAAATCTCACCTGAAAGTTAGGACAGTTAGTGGTCGATATGACTTATGACTGGTATTGCTGCTGAGTTTGCTACCCCAAAAGTCATGATGCCACAGGTCACCAAGTGGGGTTTCTGCCCTGAGGTCCTAAAAGGAAACATCAGAAATTACCAGATTCTTAACATTACTGTTTTGTTCAAAGCAGATAAACAAGTTCTAACTAATACATGTTAAAGCTAACAGGGACACAGAAGGTGTTTTTGTTGGGTCACTGCTAACATTTGACAAGGTACCCAAGTTTGCAATGAAGGTCACATCTTGGATGCCTGTCATCATAAAGGTCAAGATGCTTGGATTCTATAAGTAAGCATAACTACATGAAATTTATTAGAGCTATGTGTATTCATATCAGTTAATAATCTGGTCAAAAGTTGAGATATGAAACACATAAAAAACCCCCTTTACATTATATTTTGTAAAAAACCCCCTTTACATTATATTTTGTAAAAAACCTTTGATTCTGGGTCTGGTTTATCTTCCGAAGGAGGCCAACAACAAACTTCTACAAATAGCTACTTTTCTACCAGTGTCAGTAGCACAACTACTAATGAAAGCATGAAAGCAAGAAGACTAAAGCTAGAAAACAACAATTAGCTCTTTTTGAAGCCTTACTTCACACAGGACGTTATTCAAATAGTTGTTTGTTTGTTTGTTTTTTTTTAATTGTTAATACATGAAACCAAGAATCAAAATCTCTGTATATTACTCTAAAAGATTAAGAGTGGAACACAGAAAAGTCATTAATTATTTTAATTTTGGGTGGGGTAGGGGACTAGTCTACTCTTTCCTTTTATCTTAAAGCCATACTGATAAAGAAAAAATACAAATAAACTAGACTATTAAATGGAAAACAAAAACTTTGGAGAGAAAAAAATAAGGACCTTGGTAGCATCCACCTCAGATTTCTGTGAGGACAAGCAAAAATTGTACAAAATTGTACTAGCAAATGAGCAGCTTTTGTACAAGCGCTGGTATTACACCCGCAATCAACCACAAGTTACTCTACCTCCACCTTCGCCCCTGAAATTGTTCAAGAGACCAACAAATCAAAGCAGATTAACAAGCCAATACAAACACAAGTAAGCAGATAAACTGGACCATGAAAGGCCTTACAAAGCCTGGTGTCCTACGTCTTATTCCTCCTACATCTCCATCTACTTACAAGATTCTCACATGCTAATACCCTTAGATGACTAAATCCAGTTCCTCTCAAATGTTGCTACCATCTCACTTGCTTCTACAGTATCTTGAGCACCTTGTGTGGTCTCCAGTACCTTCCATCTCACCTTTACCTACCATTTTTGGCCTGACAACAAAGCAAGAGAGAAAACATACCACTGCTAGTCTCACAGTACAGACAAATATCTGGGCCATGCTGACTGGCTGCTGTTAAACTGAATTTAAAATAACTCAAATTTTTCTTGCTTCTCTCAACACATTATGACTTTCATCCATCCATCTGGGCCATGCTGACTGGCTGCTGTTAAACTGAATTTAAAATAACTCAAATTTTTCTTGCTTCTCTCTTAACACATTATGACTTTAATCCATCCAAAAATCAAAAAAATACAGGAAGATATTTACTTCTTGATCAAATTTGGCCAGTATTAGACAACCAGATTAAAAAAACAAAACAAAATGAAATATGAAGGGAAAGTAGCCTAAAACCCTAGCACACTGTCAAATGAAGTAAAGCATTCTCTAATAGATTACTAATCAATATACAGAAAAGAGAGCAGGGCTAATACTGTAGTCTTTGAAAAGTCCTACACTGCAGCTGTCGATTAAGGCATTTTCAGGAAAACTCTTAAGAAATCAAGACTCACAGGGGATCCTGTTTGGGCTTTAGAATTATCCAGGTGCATAACTTCTTCACTCTCTCACAGATGTTTCTACTGCCAAAAAACAGCTACAAATTTCTTTCTTCTCCCAGGACTGCAATTTTCAGCTTAGGCACCTAAATTCCTGTTTCTTTCCTCACTGGAAAGCACAAACCCTAAAGGTCATAATTTGACTCTCTGAACCAGCAGCCCACTAAATCAATCAATATAGACTGCTTTTCCAGGGGCAAGTTGGGACTGGGTTGTACACCAACATCTACTGAAGTCTTTGTACTTTGCAGGGGATAGCTGTTAGTGCGTGTTTTGGCCCCCAGACTGTTTTTCCAACCAACAGCACTGCTCCTTTATGTACATTTGCCAAAGAAAGGGACTATGACTTTATTTTTTAATTAAAATTTTAGAAGTATGTCTTTTATGTCACAGATGGTCTTCAATAACTTGAGATGGCAGATATATTTGAGACATGCAAGGCTAGATTTCCCCTTCTGCTACAATTTGTCTTCTTTTGTCTTCCAGAGGAAGAATGTAGGAAAAGCTGAATACATGGAATTACTTAGTGACTAGATTACACTTCCATATGACCTAAAAATCTTCAGTTATGTAGGCTGCTCTTGTAAGAGACTTTTTCATACAGAACTTGGATACATTCATTTTCCCACTCGGGGGACTTACCCTAAAATAGGAATGGTTTGCTGTAAGAGACACAGCTGTTTAAAAGTTACATATGATTTTAAGAACTGAAAGTAGATATCAAAGATTCTCTAAATATTTGATTAGCAGCAGCTTACAGACAGCAGAGTTCAACACGTGAAGAAAGGTCAGTTTTTCTAGATAAAGGCCTATGGAAATGACACATTGTGTCTGAAGCTCCTCCTAATCTAACTGTCTTGCTAAACTAGTAAATAAATAAATAAAGACAAGAGTCACTGCTGTGCACCAGTTAAAATGCTGCTTAAAGTGACATGAAAGCATCTGGAAAACAGCCTTGAAACTCAATAAAATCTAACAATAGAATGTTCCACAGTACAGTAGGCCTGGGGTCAACTAACTGTAACTTTCACTAAAAAAAAACAATTGAAAGATTGGGGTGGTGGTGGAAGCTAGTGAATTAACAAAAAGGTCACTGTGTGGTACCCAAGAAAATACTGGTATAGTAATGCTCAGTAAACCTAGAAAATTACTTCACCTGCTGTCTCTGCTATTGAATAGAAATAAAGCATTCTATACTTTGTTTAATAAACTGTGCCTTTGCTAGATGCTCTCCCTCACCATTAAACTGGTAAACTCATTGTCTCTGCATTTTTCTTGCAGATTTTGTATTTCCATAAATTCATATGACCCCTGTGTTAAAATGATACTGTCACAAAAATCTCATTTAATTTCTAGGGAATAACAGAGGATTTTAATATGAAAAACAGAATAAGCCTTGCAGTTTTTCAAACATGCAGACTAGGTATGAATCAATCTATTTAAGCAGTTGGTTGAATTGCTCAGTATTGCCAACAGCTATAATCCTGGTGGAGGTTGTTGTGTTGCATAGATAATAAATTGAAACATTTTGAAAGTAAAAACTGAAAGAAGTGGAGAGAGATTACAAGTGTGGAAATTGCACACGAACAAAACAACCTGCCTAGTTTCAACATCAGTCTTTTGTTCATTCTTTCAGGAAGTTAAAATGTTATAGTTGTGCCCCAAATAAAACTTTGCAGAGTGAAACATTGCCAGGAGCTCTGTAATTTAAAATATAATGTTTCTTAAAGAAAAAAAAAAATCATCGTAGGTTCTTAATTGGTCTATAGTATTCTCTTAGAAGCTTTGAGATTTATTTACAATTTGGCATATCTATCTTCCCCCCACACACTTATAACTCAAGGTATGATGACTTACACAAGCATAGTACAAATTTGTCTAAGGACACAGTAATTCTGTTGGATTCTAAAAGGCACAATGTGGTAAGTTGCCTCTAAATCTTGTGCAGGGCAAAAAAAAAAGTGAATTCCGTTCTTCTAGCAGTATGAGTCTCCAGATGATGCTCCCTGTATCCTCATGGCTTCAGGAAAAGAACCAACACATGAAGGTGATTCTTTTTACCCTGTGCTTCTCTTTCCAAACATTTAACAAGTACCTTTCGGAACAGCACAGGAGCTGTAACACCAAGACCCACCCACAAGCACAGGTTCACTAACTGCTACATGTGATTCTATATGAAGGGTCTCAACAACTGAAGACACTCAACTCCTCAAAGTCAAAAGAATCTCAGCTAGAGGTTTGTTCGACTCACATGTTAATTTCTAAGTATTTAAAGGATTGTTAATTGGATGTATGATTGGTTTTAAAACAGAGCACAAGAATACTCTGCCTCTATTTCAAAAAAACTGTTGTCACAGGAACTTTAAGTGGGGAAGGAGCATAGGAAAAGGAAGCTTTCCTTGCTCCTGTAACATTTTTACGGTATAAAACTCAGCTGGAGAACCTCTGCACCCGACAATCGTTTAGTGATGCATTAGGTATCTTGCAGCTGGAGTAACTTTATTCATTGGGCTTATTCATCTGTCACCATGAGAAGATAATGAAAAGATCTCCTATTAACATCAAGGGGTATTAGATAAGTACTGCATACTCTCACTGACTTAGAAATGAGCATAAAATTAGATCTATAGGCAGTCTTGATGTATAGGTACCCTGTGAACAAGCATTACTAAACATCACATCCAAATTAGATAATGCTTTCTTAGATGATAAGCAGACAAAGTCCATTTGGTATGGCAAAGAAATCCCTTCCCCTTGACCAGACAGCAACACTTAAGCAGAGCATCTCACTTTCAACAGAATGAAAGGGGACACATTGGGGGGGGAAGCTGTTTACTCTTCTTGTTCACTCTTCTGTTTATGCATTAGAACCCAAGTCATGTTATTCAAAGAGCTTTAGAAATAAGATGGTTCTAGCTTTTCAGTAGGACACCGCTGCATAGCTTGTTTGTCAACCTTAAATAAGGCCTACTTAAAAAAACCCCAAAAACAGTAAAACAAAACGTAAAAACAAAGTTCAAAAAAAGGAATATCAGAAGGAAGCTTCTTACGATGATTAATATTTCGGGCCTACTTAGATCAACTGTTGTAATTATTTATTATCCTGTTACTACTTAAGTCAAAGAACGTGGGGAAAAAGAAGAGAGACCAACCTTATTATTGATGATGGCTTCAGAATCATCAAAGACAAAATCTCCATCATAGCTGTTAGCAAAACAGAGGAAGGAAATTAATGCCACAACCATTTTAGCCCAGTATGACGGCAGGAGGAACCATGATACGTCATGGTCCAGATTAGGTTCTGTTTGTGCCATTCTGTGAAATAGTTATTCCAAATTGGGAGCTTCAGCATTATGTTGGTTGCAAATCTGAAAGAAATACATACAAATGCACAATTATAGTTGCATTTCACTAAAAAATAATTTTAAAATGGAGAGTTAGGTCAGGAGAGGAGAATGAAGTTTCATACAACCTAACATTTTTCTCTTGGTGCATTTCATAATTACTGGAACATATCTAAACATGATTTTATACTTCAAATGTGGAAGAAAGGTATGGTTTCTCATGGCCAGAGCACAGAGATAAAGCTAAGAAATTCTTAGATTCTGAGTTAAAGCTTTGGCACAGGTAAATTCTCAAATCTTGAGCAATCACTGTTTTTCTGTTTCTTGCTCTTCTTTTCAAGTGTAACAGGGGCACCTTGGGGACTACGGAGCATTAATAAAGCTCTTAAGAGAATGACAAACACCATAATTTCCTTCTGAGTGTGAAAAACAAACACCATAAATTGCAAAAAGAGCTCAACTCTCTTCTGTTAATTGAATTCAAGGATCTAGTCTTACATATAGCCCATACAGGGAGCTCATACAAACATCACAGGTATTCATACACAGACAGTAATTAATGGACTGGGCCCTAAATATCAACAGTTCAAGCTATGAGACAACCAGATACATAAAATTAAGACCAAAGCAGTGCTCACTAGATCACTCTGCACACCACAAGTACAGAATAGGCTAAATTCTACTGCTGTATTCATGGGCTTATGAGGTTGTTGAGGCAGATGAAAAGGACCGTGCAATCCAACAGCACTGAGTGATATACCAGTGTGGAGGTACTAAGGCTGGAAGTTTACCCATGAGTGACCTTTATTTGGAAGGGTGTCTTCTGATACTCCAAAGCCAGCCCTCCACCCAGACAGCTATTCTGCCTCTGCTTCTCTGGTACTCCGACAGCACTGGGAGCGGTCTTATTATCAAGCACTGCTATAGATGGCAGGGGGAGGAGGTTACCAATGGAAAACTACAGTAAAAGCAGGACAGAATACAAAGGGGGTTTTTTGTAAGCCCCAGGAATAGTAGGCACATACAGTCCATCTTAACAATTTCCAGGGTCAAAAGCTTAGCTTATTAACTTTCTTCTTATTTATAGGCTTTTAAATCAACTGTTGCACCCCCGAAAACAATGCATTTAATATCTTCATATACTCCAGGAAAAAGCTCTAGTCATTTGGCTTCTTGAACAGACTTGACCATTAGAGCTGCTACGGCAATTGCTTCATTACTTTCTGTTTGCAGCACTAAATTCCAGACTCCACATATTCCCAATCTCTGTACACACACCGGCACAGGGAGAGGTGGTACTACTCCCTGTCACACCCTGCGGCTTCTCGCTTGGAGGATTACATAGCAGCACTCCCAAATTCAGATAAAGTCGGTAACACGGAGCTGTGCAACCTGAGAAAGAATGATGGTCCTTAGCACAGCAAAGCAGATCAGCCACTTTAAGAGCAAAACCTTTTTTCAAAGCAATTCACTTTTGTGCTTTTAGTTTGATGAAAACAAAAACTAAAAGCAAGACTGTTAATCAGAGGGAAGTGTATTGCATTGCTCGTAACAGTGCAGACACAGCATCAACGCCCGCTGCACAATGAAAATATTTCATCTACTCAAAATTCATTTCGCCCAGAAAGTTTCCCCCGTTACGCTTGTTCTCTTTATCTGCTGAACATCTGCTGCCAGCCCTCTTCCCCGCGGCCCAGCAAAGCGGGCCAGCGGGGGCTCCCTTACCAGGGCAACACGTTAACACACACGCAGGCGGCCTCAGCACCCACGAGGGACCGTGACCCCCTGCAGCCCCCCACACGCAGGCAGCCCGAAGGGCTCTCCCGCTGCCC